GAACTTCCCTGTACCCTTAAAACAACAGGCATCTTCACAGATTAAATAAAGAGCTGTGTGATCAAATAAATTCTTCCAAGAAACAGAGCTCGTATGTTGACTGTCAAGGGTTTAGAATGGGCGTATACTCAATGTACCACAGATCCCTGAGGATGAGGAATTCTGTCATTGGGGTCCACAAAGCCCCCTGGTGGAGATTTGAAATTGTACACCAAGCCACAGAGATCCAACACATTAATCCAGATTCCGAGCAACTCCCAAACATAGAGTTGGGACCTCAGTACATGTCAGCATCTTCCCCTGTGCAAACTTTTTGAGACCCCACTTCTTGCGCATCCAGTATCTTGTGCAAATATTTGTAAATGGTACCTAAGCTATCCAAATTTATACTGGAAACTGAATTAGATCTGATTTCTCTATGTTTACCCATGTCTCATCCCTTCATATTAATTTATGTATGTTAATTCCAAAGTTGCGGTCAATCAGCTCCACCTGTGTGGGCCAGATGACGGTGTCATCCCCATCAGTTCTCTAGCCGTGCCCACGATCCACAGCGGAATACGGCCACGTCCATGTTGTCCTAATCAGGGTTACTATTGCTGTGATGAAACACCACGACCAAAAACAAGCTCCACATCACTGACACTGCTCATCATTGGAGGGAGCCAGGCAGACCTAACGCAGGAACCTAGCAGCAGGAGCTGATGCAGAAGCCATGAAGGGGCGGTGCTTACTGGCTTACTCCCACTAGGATGGCCCTTTAAGCCCCACTTAAAGCATTCGGCAACTTTTCTAACCTGAAGTCCCGAAGTCCAGCATGGTCAGGCTTGTCACAACAATACCCGGCTCCCTGGTACCAACGTCTATCTTAGTCACCGGTCTATTGTTGTGAAGGGACACCGTGGCCAAGACGACTCTTATAAAAGAAAGAATTTAATTGGGGTTTGCCTACAGTTTCTGAGGCGTACTCTATCATATTCACGGTAGGGAGCGTGGTAACGTGCAAGCAGGAGAGAGAGAGAGAGAGAGAGAGAGAGAGAGAGAGAGAGAGAGAGAGACTGGGTCTGGTTCGGGCTTTTGAAACCTTAGAACCCACCCCCAGCAATACACCTACTCTAGCAAGGCCACACCTCCTAATCTTTCTAAGCAGTCCAACAGAAGACTAAGTATATAAATTTATGGGCTCACAAGGGCCACTCTCATTCCAACCCCCACATATGCCATTGTACGTCACTAAGTTTGAGTGACAAACATAAACTCTGGGAACAAACCTTCATTTAGTATCTGGACACACGGGCAGTCTCCCTGACTGGCTCCCTATGACCACCTGTCTGGGCTCACCAACCAGAGAGAACCTCAGTCCTGTGAAAATGAGGCAGATGGAAGAAATAGAGACATGGTTCCAGAAAGACAGAATGCTGAGGCTGGCTGGGCTGGTGGAGCGCTCGCCTAGCGGACATGAAGCCCTGGTTCAAACCACTGCATCTCACAGACCAGGCATTGATACCAGCACTTTGGAGACAGAAGCAGAAGGATCAGAAATTCAAGTCTATCTTTGGCTATATCATGAGTTCAAGGACAACCTGAGCCCTAAGACCCTGTCAAAAGGAAAAGGGGGGGGGTGAGAAAATAACTGAGGGTATCTTAGTAAGGGCGACCATGACCAAAAGCAAGCTAAGGAGTGAGTGAGTTATTTGGCTTACACTTCCATGTTGTAGCCCACCATCAAAGGAAGTCAGGGCAGGAACTAAAGCAAGCAAGAAACCTAGAGGCAGGAACTGATACAGAGGCCCCTGGATGGATACTGCTTACTGGCTTGCTCCCTTTGGCTTGATCAGCTGCTTTCTTATAGAACACAGGACCACCAGCCCAGGGACAGTACCACCCACAAGGGGCTGGACCTTCCCCCATCAATCACTAATTAAGAAAATACCCTACAAGCTTACATACAGCCAGATCTTACTGAGGAATTTTCTCAACTGAGGTTCCCTCCTCTCAGATGACTCCAGCTTGTGTCAAGTTGACATAAAGCCAACCAGGACAGAGAGGAAGAGACAGAAGCCATAAGTGCCTGTAGAACAGACCATGACGAGAGGGAGGGATGAGGAGGACCCTGTTCTCGTGGATGGTGACACAATTTTGAGGATTGTGGCCTCTGTGCCGCATGTCCAGGCTGGAAAGTGACCTTGTGGGCCTTGGCAACTTAAACCCCAACCACCTCTCCCGACACTGAGTGCTGCTGTTCAACCTGCTAGAGAGTTGGGCACTGACTGCTGTGGAAGACAAGAGACCAACGCTCAGATCCTGGGGGAGATCCTCAAATACTCTTCATGTTTTTGTCCAAGATTACCCCTCTTCCAGCAACCCTGTAGTGCAGACTCCAGGTCTCCTCCTTTACCCAGGAGTCCAGACCCAAAGCTCCAGACCCTGAATCCTTTCCCTCAGTCTCAGGGGTACACACCCAAACCCTCATTCCTTACACCAGAGCCCTCCTCCCTAGAGCTGTGTGTCCAGACTTCAGCCTCTTTCCCAGACCCAGAACAATGTCTGGCCCTTGCTCCTGAGACACAGGGTGGAGGTGGCTCCCTCCTGCCTCTGCTCTGCTAGATGAAGACAATCCCTGTGAAGGCACCCTGGTGTCACCCAGTGGCTAGTCCCTCCGAGTACAAGCACAGCCTTGGGAAACTTGGACTCTGCCCACTGTGCTCTCCACTCTGTGACGCTGCCGCCCACACTCACCCACTCCTCCCCCTGCCTCAACTGCAAACAGGGTCGTGGTCAAAGGACTTTATGGATACAGAAACAGGTGTCACACCTGTGAGATTAAAAAGAAACAACCAGAGGTTGTGGTGTTATACCCAAATCCACAAAGTCCCCGCAAAAGCCAACAAGGAGACGGAATCCCCTATATAAAGGCAAAGAGCCTTTATTTTAATTAAGTTTGCAAACTCAGTCTCTCCGCATGTCCAATGTATTGGAATAACTGGAGAGCCCCAAGCTCAGTTAGAATTGGGCTTTTATAGTAGTAAAGGTGGGGGTGAGGGGTTTCTGAGGTTCAGGGCCTTTGATTGGCTGACACTTGTCTAGGGTGCCCTGGTGAGTGTGCTGGCAGGTGATTCTAGGAATTTCCTTTGGATGGTCTGTTCTTGGGTGGTGCTGGGTCATCTCAGTTCATGGTCCTTCCTGCAGCCAGGTATTGCTTCAGGGTAAAACTGCTGACACCCAGGCCTCTACCCTGGCAGGTGATAATGGTTGGAAGTTAAGAACTTCCTTTGGGTGGTCTACTCCTATCAAGCTTATCATGGTGGGCGGAGTCCTACAGTCAGGTGTGGTTCCAGTGCCTCACCTTCTTGGTGACAGCAGTGGCGTGGACCTTGGGACAGACTCAGTCCTGGGGTCAGCATGGTGGTCGATATGGGGTTAGACACTGAGAGGAAGTGCCTCCTGTTGTTTCCTCACGGGTGGGCTGCTTAGAACTTGTGTCCACACAGCCGAAGGGTCCCAAGTCCCAAAGCTACTGTGTGAAGTGTGTGTGAGAGAGAGAACACTGTGCCCACAGCGGGTATGTGTGAAGTGTGTGAGAGAGAACACTGTGCCCACAGCGGGTATGTGTGAAGTGTGTGTGTGAGAGAGAGAGAGAAAGAACACTGTGCCCACAGCGGGTATGTGTGAAGTGTGTGAGAGAGAACACTGTGCCCACAGCGGGTATGTGTGAAGTGTGTGTGTGAGAGAGAACACTGTGCCCACAGCGGGTATGTGTGAAGTGTGTGTGTGTGTGAGAGAGAACACTGTGCCCACAGCGGGTATGTGTCAAGTGTGTGTTAGAGAGAGAACACTGTGCCCACAGCGGGTATGTGTGAAGTGTGTGAGAGAGAACACTGTGCGCACAGCGGGTATGTGTGAAGTGTGTGTGTGAGAGAGAACACTGTGCCCACAGCGGGTATGTGTGAAGTGTGTGTGTGTGAGAGAGAACACTGTGCCCACAGTGGGTATGTGTGAAGTGTGTGTGTGTGAGAGAGAGAGAGAGAAAGAACACTGTGCCCACAGCGGGTATGTGTGAAGTGTGTGTGTGAGAGAGAACACTGTGCCCACAGCGGGTATGTGTGAAGTGTGTGAGAGAGAACACTGTGCCCACAGCGGGTATGTGTGAAGTGTGTGTGTGTGTGTGAGAGAGAGAGAGAAAGAACACTGTGCCCACAGCGGATATGTGTGAAGTGTGTGTGAGAGAGAGAGAGAACACTGTGCCCATAGCGGGTATGTGTGAAGTGTGTGAGAGAGAGAACACTGTGCCCACAGCGGGTATGTGTGAAGTGTGTGTGTGAGAGAGAACACTGTGTCCACAGCGGGTATGTGTGAAGTGTGTGAGAGAGAACACTGTACCCACAGCGGGTATGTGTGAAGTGTGTGTGTGTGAGAGAGAGAGAACACTGTGCCCACAGCAGGTATGTGTGAAGTGTGTGTGTGAGAGAGAGAGAGAGAACACTGTGCCCACAGCGGGTTTGTTTGAAGTGTGTGTGTGTGTGTGTGTGTGTGAGAGAGAGAGAGAGAGAGAGAGAGAGAGAGAGAGAGAGAACACTGTGCCCACAGTGGGTTTGTTTGAAGTGTGTCTGAGAGAGTGAGAAGCATGTGCCCACAGCGGGTATGTAATTCACCAACCTCATTTATTAACAGACCACAAATGCTGTCTTGGCAGCACGTGAGATCACTGTCCATACAGTTGACAGGCAAAAGGGCTTGGCAGGGCTAGAGGGAGCACTCTGTCCGACCTGGGCACACCAAAGTTGTATCCATATCTCAGAGAGTCAGGGGGCCCTGGGCACAGCATCTAAACTGCTGGAAGACGGGCTTTGAGTTGGCATGTCAGCTGAGCCCCAGGGAGGCTCTCACGGAAGTTCCCGCTGGGTTTCCACACACCTGTCTTCTGCTGTTTGTGGGGCAGGGACTGGCTTGATGTGCATCAGCAGAGACTAAAAACATATAACATGGCCACTTCAGAAGCCTTATGCCAGTTCTTTCTGTCTAGTGCTTTGGCCACCTGCTGGGAGGACAGTGGGCTTTGGTGCCTCAGGATTGTTGGGGACAGTGGAGTCACCTCGAAGGCTGAAACTGGAGAAAATTTTACTGTCACGTCTTGTCAACAGGTTTAGGGGTTGAAGGAGGATGTCATCTGTGGGGTTCTTTCTTGGGAGTGGAACCTGGCCACCTTTGTCCTGGCCTCTGACTGTGAGTCTTCTTAGCATGTATTCAGGCCACTGGCTGACCTTGTTGGATCCCATTTCTGTCCTTTTGGAGGATGAAGGCTTTTTAAAGACCTCACAGATGACCTGGTCGTCCTGGTTCCACCAGTGCTGCAGCGGATACACAGGGATGGGCAGCAGAGCCAGGACGCTGAGGAAGGTGATCCAGCCCAGAACTATCTTCTGGTAAGTCTGCTTCACTTCCTGGCTCTGGAGACAGGGACAGTGGACCACAGGGGGAAGCGCTCAGTCTGGGTGCAGTGTCCCCAGGTCCCCAGGGCAGGAGATACAGGTGAGGACTCAGTCTGAATATTCTGGGAACAGGTGTCCCCAAGTTTTGGGGGTAGGAGATGCAGGATGGGGGGCTGAGTCTATGTGCTTGGGGTTTGGGGTCTCCAGGTCCCTAAGTGTAAGAGCCACAGGGTGGGGTGCCAGGTCCCCAGGGCGTACCATACTGTCATTCCAGGAGATGTAGTAGAGGGATTTCCTGTGGTAGAGATTCAGGAAGTAGATGACGAGCAGCACCAGCAGGGCGGGCAGGGTCACATAAGTCCACAAGAAGGTGAAGGGTGCCCACACCAGGCGGCCCAGCTGGTAGAACATCTCAGCCCTGAACCTGGATGAAGGAGGCAGCCATATGGACGTAAGGCCTGGGCATACCTAGGCATAGGTAGACCTTCTATCTCCAACTCTTGGAAACTCCTGATGCTTAGTGTGGGGGACCAGGCCTCCCTGGCTCTGGACCATGTTTTGTTACCCATGAGAATAGTTCAGTCCACAGATGGTACCACCACGGCCCTTGGCCTGCAGCGCACTTAGGAATGCATCTTCCTGAAGGATCTGCCCACTCTCTGAGGACTTTGACTCCCGTGCAGTGCCTCTGCCCCCTGAAGGCCTAGAATAGATTGGATAGCTAAGCCCCCCCCCCCAGGGAATGGAAATTACCTCCTGATTCCATAGACAAAAGCCAGAGAAAGGTTCTGGAGCACCACAATAACGACAAGGACCATAGGGACCAGGTGGTCATCAAACAGGAACACCACGTAGCTGCCCAGAAGTCCTCCCAAGCAGACAGTCACTAAGGGTGGAAGTGGATGGGGTACACTGGGGGTTGTGAGCTGGGGGTCCATGTGACTCCGGGATGCTTCAGGTGAGGTAAGTGAGAGGAAGATTACAAGGTAGGGGCTTTTGTACCTGGTATCAGCACTGTCACTAAGACACAAAGGCAACCTACTGACTAGGAGAAGATCTTCACCAACCCCGCAACAGACAAAGGTCTGATCTCCAAAATATATAGAGAACTCAAGAAACTAGACATTAAAATGCTAATTAACCCAATTAAAAAATGGGGCACTGATCTGAACAGAGAATTCTCAACAGAAGAAGTTCAAATGGCCAAAAGACACTTAAGGTCATGCTCAACTTCCTTAGCAATCAGGGAAATGCAAATCAAAACAACTTTGAGATATCATCTTACACCTGTGAGAATGGCTAAAGTCAAAAACACCAACGATAACCTTTGCTGGAGAGGTTGTGGAGGAAGGGGTACCCTCATCCATTGCTGGTGGGAATGCAATCTTGTGCAACCACTATGGAAGTCAGTGTTTCGGTTTCTTAGGAAATTCGGGATCAACCTACCCCTGGACCCAGCAATACCACTCTTGGGAATATACCCAAGAAATGCCCTATCATATGACAAAAGCATTTGTTCAACTATGTTCATAGCAGTATTATTTGTAATAGCCAGAACCTGGAAACAACCTAGATGCCCTTCAATGGAAGAATGGATGAAGAAAGTATGGAATATCTACACATTAGAGTACTACTCAGCGGTAAAAAACAATGACTTCTCGAATTTTGCATGCAAATGGATGGAAATAGAAAACACTATCCTGAGTGAGGTATCCCAGACCCAAAAAGATGAACATGGGTTGTACTCACTCATAATTGGTTTCTAGCCATAAATAAGGGTCACGGAGTCTACAATAGGTGAATCTAAAGAAGCTAAGTAAGAAGGGGAACCCAAGGAAAAACATATAGTTATCCTCTTGGCTAAGGGAAGTAGACAAAATTGCCGGGGAGAAAATTGGGATCTTGGGGTGGGTTGGGTTGGGGGTAAGGGGAGATGGGGAGAGAAAAGTTAGAAGGGAAGGAGGTCAGGCCTTGGGAAAGCAGGAGGATTGGGATAAAGGAAGGTTGGACAGCTTGGGATACTTCTCGAAGGTTGGGATGTTTCTCTGCAGAGGAAGCACAATACTCTCCAGGAGCGTTGTCAGTGTGGCCAGACCCATGATGACAAGGGCAATGAAAAAGATGATGGCCCAGAAAGAGGAGCCAGGAAACAGCGAGATGACTTGAGAGAAGGCCACGTATGCCAGGGAGAAGAGCTCTAAGGCAGGACAGGGTCTGGATGGATGGGGTTGGGAGAGTACGTCATTAGTCATGTCTGCCACTCCCGTGGAAATCGAGAAGGTTAAAGTGTTCAAAGTTGTCCCTCCTTGGCTATGCGACCTGAGTGACATTCATTTTCTGGGTCCCTTGAAGTGAGCTACAGATGTGGAGGGGAGCCAAGATCAGAACTCTTGGCTGCAGGGAGGCCACTAGACCAGCCTCCTTGACAAACACACCTTTCCCTTCTGTACCAGGATGCTGCAGGGTGGGGAGAAACGGACCACATCCGCCTGGAGCTGACTGGGGAGCTGACTGATCCAGTCCATGTATTCTACTGGAGGTTTATGAATGATGCCTTGGGGAGGCCAGGCAGCCTGGGACAGCACACCTTTGATTATCAGATCAACCAGCTTGTTGACACTCCTGCTAGCATAGGAAGAGAAAAGAAGACGATAGAGAATGGTCTGGCTCTCCAAGCATCACCAACCAAGGAGGAGGAGAATCGCATACAGATATACGCTATCATGGCTCTGGAAGTCCATGGTTGGGGGCTCTGTGTGAGTGTGTGTGTGATATATGTGATGTGTGTTGTGTTTGTGTGTGTGGTGTGTGATGTATGTGATGTGTATGGTGTGTGATGTGTGTGGTGTGTGCGGTGTGTGTGGGGTTGTATGTGATATGTGTGTGTGTGCGTGAGCCACCCCAATTAAATGTTTTCTTTACAAGAGTTGCTGTAGTCATGGTGTCTCTTCATAGGAATAGTAACCAGAGCTAAGACAGTGTCTAAGACATGAAGGCCCCGAAACACAGTGTTAGTCAAGTCCTTTTCATTTGTGTCTGATATTCCATTAGTTGGATGTTTATGCTAACTTTTTTATGAAATCTTATTGCTAGGGTCTCAGATTGCACTTCCATGTTTACCTACAGGTAATGGTCAGGCATCATTTGGGTCACTGAACAAAGTCGTGACTCAGATGTCTGTGAGTGGGTGAGCAGCGGCCATGGAATCCCCGTGCAAGTGATTTGATTGTGAGAAGTACTTGTCCTCAAAGGCAGTGGCATGAATTTACATACCCACCAACAAAGCACAAGGCTTCCTCTAGCTTCCCTGCACACTGGTTCTCACAGTTTCTGCCTGAACCTCTGAGTCTGTAGCTGACAGTTATCGCAGCGCGTGGGCAGTGTGGTCTCGCTGCAGCCTTACCTTCAGCTTCTCAGGTGCAAGCTGGGTGTGGTGGCACAATCCTGTCACCACAGCATTCAAGAGGACAAGGGGGGGTCAGAAGTTCAAGGTCATCATCCTTAGCTACATAGACAGATCAAGGCCAGCTTTGGCAACATGAGACACTGCCTTTTAAAAAAAACCAGGTGTTGGTAATGCACACCTTTAATCCCAGCACTCAGGAAGCAGAGGCAGGTGGATCTTTGAGTTCGAGGCCAACCTGGTCTACAGAGTGAGTTCCAGGACAGCCAGGGCTACAGAGAGAAACCCTGTCTCAAAAAAAAAAAAAAAAACAACTCAAAAGATTTAGGCCATGAGATAGTTCAGCGGACAGATCACTTGCCATTCAAACTTGGAGTTTGATCTCTGAACCACACAAGAGAGAAGCAGACTCCACAGAATTGTGTTCTGACCTCCACACGCATACCCAGCCGTGCACGTGCAGGTGCACACATGCACCAAGCAGACAGACAGACAGGCATTGCTGCTAACCCTTGACATGCTAACTGGAAGGAAAACTCTCAAGCCTCTGAAAGCTACAGCAATGAAACAAAAGAGCAAGGAGAGGCTTGTGGGAGGACTCAGAAGGAAGGGAGGGGGAATTACATGACAATATCTCAAAAGATAAAAGAAATAATTCAAGGTGTATAAGAAAATTGGTGTATACAAAACAAATTCCAGTTCTGTGCCCATTGTGATGGCACATACCTTTATTATCTTGTGTGTATGGTTGTTTTGTCTTCATGTCTGTGTGTGTTTGTCTATCTTGTGTGGGCAATGTCCTCAGAGGCCAGAAGAGGGTGTTGGGTCCCTGGGCTGGACCTATATAGATGGTTGGAAGTCAACATGTGGGTGCTGAGTACTGAACCCAGGGTCCTATGGAAGAGCAGCAAGTTTGCTTGTTTGTTTTGGTTTCTTGAGACAGGGTTTCTCTCTGTAGCCCTGGCTGTCCTGGAACTCGCTCTGTAGATCAGGCTGGCCTCGAACTCAGAGAACCAACTGCCAGGGCCTCCAGAGTGTGCCACCACTGCCTGGCTGCTGTCAGTGTTCTTAACCACTGAGCAATCTCGCTAGTCCTGGCATACACCTTTAATCCCAGCACTGGGAGGCAGAGACAGGCGGATCTCTACGAATGTGAAGCCAGCCTGGTCTACAGAGTGAAGTACAGGCCAGCCATGAATAGACAGTGAGACCTTGTCTCAAACAACAAAAACAAAACAAAACAAAAAGAAACAAACACACCCCAGTATCTGGCTACAGCTAGAAAAAAAAAGCAGAGCGACTGGGCAAAGCGCAAACACCTGGTGCTTCCCAACTCAAACACAGCCCGTGCCAACAGCCGCCGCCCGCATCGTGGCAGCTGGGACATCATGGCAAGCTGTGACAGCAGCCTTGCGGGTTAAAGAAGCAACTTGAAAATGATCCTTAGCTTCATCTGCAATTTCTAGAACTGTCCTCCTCCGTTAGGCAGTGGTTGTTTACTCTGAGGATGAGGTGAAGTGGGGTTCAACGGAAGGGTCTGACCGACAGGACTGTGGTGCTGAAGGGGAGCTGAGGAGGGAAAGCTTCTGCTAACATTGCCAGGATGTGCCACTCACTTCTCAACACAGCTGGGCCCGCTGGTTGTGGTCCAGAAGCCCAGCACCAGAAAGATGATGGCTGTGCTCAGCAACGACGTCACCAGGTTGGCCATGGCCACAAAGAAGGCCAACTTGATGTAGTTGTCACCTCTAGTCTGGTAGGAAGAGAAAGTGATGATGGTGCCCATGCCAAGGCCGAGGGAGTAGAGCACATGGCCTCCAGCCTGACGCCATGTGTCCAGCGATGACAAGACAGAGAGCTGTGGAGGAGAGGGTTCCCAGGTGAGGTGAGGCTGACAGAGCAACGAACCTGGGAGGCCTGGGGAGTGAGGTAGAGAGGGACTCACCTCTATGGTCACCAGGCGCCTGAGGCTAGCCATCGCTCCTGGCAGGAAGAGACTGCGAATGAGGAAGCAGCAGAGGAGGACGTAGGGGAAGAATATGGAGAAAATCAGCATCTAGGCAGGTAGGTCACAAGAAGCAGGAGAAGGAAGATAGAGAAAACTTTAGTGAGGTTGAGGGCAGGCAGGATGCTGTGAGGAGGAGGGAGGTCCTGGGGGGGGGGGGGAGCTGGAGAGTGAACCGGTCAGTGGGAGGTGAAAAAGGAGGGCAGTGCCTAAGGAAAGACACCAAAGGTTGACCTCTGGCCTCCGCAGGCTTGTGCAGACCCCGCTGCACACACAAAAGGTTACGTTTGACAGGAGCGTCCCAGCACCCACCCCAATGTCACCCACACTCCCAAACCGCCCAGAATCACGTTCCTGGATCCAGTCTCTTATGTTTCTCTTCTGCCCTTTTACCTGTGCATGCTAGCATGCAGTCCGGGCCCTGCTAATTCCACTCCTTCTCGCTGTCCACCTTGTTCCTGAGACAGGTCTCACTGCCCTGGAGCAAGCTAATTAGACTAGGACCCTAGATCCTCCTGTCCCCACCACCCCAGTTCTGGGTTCCAAGGATCCCTTTCTGTCTGGTCTTACACATGGGTGCTGGAGACCAAACTCGGGCCCTCGAGCTGCTGTCCTGGAACTCACTCTGTAGACCAGGCTGGCCTCGAACTCAGAGAGTCCCCTGCCTCTGCCTCCCAAACTCTGGGATTAAAGGCGTGCACCTTCACTGTCTGCCCATGCTTCTTTCTCCCCAGCCTGTGAAGACCAATCTTCATTGTCTACCTGATTGTACTTAGAAGAATCCAGGGGGCTGAGGCATGCCCCTGGGTGTGTCTGTGGGGCTGTTAGAGGATTAACTAAAAGGGAAAGACCTACCTTGATGTCTGTGTCAACATCCCTGAGGCTCAGATGGAATAAAAGAGGGATGAGAACACCATCTGAGAACCACAGCTCCTCTGCCTCCTGTTCTGTGGGGACCCGAGGATGCGCACAGTCCCAGCCATGTGTTCCTCACCACACTGTATACCCTCAAACTATGACCGAAATAAATCCTTCATGTCAGGTCACAGTGAGAAGACTAATGGGAAAAGGCCCCTTCACACCGAACCCCTAGTCCGAGCAGAGTCTCTCTTTGTAGGAACGGTGCCAAGAACTGGTATGAGGAATCCAGATGCTCACAGGGACACAGATGGAGCACAAGGAAGGAAACCATTTCTGCAGGGTCACTGTGCACACCAGAAAGCCCAGGGAGGTAGAGGTGATAGAGCTAGGAGAAGTCTCTGCACAGTGAGGTGGGTGTCAGGGATGGTGACCAGAGAGTCCCGTCAAGAGCTTGCTTGAGGAAGCTATGGCCTCTTCCATGGGACACTTACTGGGGACACTGGTGGGTGTACATGAACCTGTCCTCTGGATAGTTGAAGGTCCTGAGGCTCAGCAGGAAGGAGGCCACGGGGACACTTACAAGCACTAAGATCCTCATCCTAATAATCAGGATGATATAGAGGAAGACCCAGGTGGCAAAGAGGCACAGGGTGATGTTCAGGACCAGCATCTCAATCCCTTCTTCCACCTGGCTGGAGGCATCAAGGGTTGTGTGATACCAGAAATACTGGTAGGGCACTGTCCGAAGGCACTGGATCTCTGCGGGGAGGAGGGGGCAGAGATTCAGATACTTAGAGGTCACCTTACATGCTGCCTCCAATAGCTCTTGCAACTAACCCATCTCCTTGTCCCTCTCCTTACTAGTCATACTGATGTTCCCATGGTCACGGGAATGCATCTTGCATTGTTCCCAGGGTAGAGGGTAATCAAAGGACTGGCCCAGGTACATGACGTTCCAGGAGATCAGAGCGCTGTTGTACAGGCTCACCAGCACACAAGCCTGAGGAGAACAAGGTGGGCCCGAGGGGCGACATGGAGGAGACAGGGCACCAGAAACTTGTGGGTCTGCCAGCCCCAACCTACCAGTGTGCTGGAGTAGCCCAAACCGCCTAGCCAGGGGGCCAGCTGCTTCCAGGCCTGGATGTTGTCCTTCCGTAGCCACTGTCCAATGATCATCTCCATGTACAACAGGGGGATCCCCACCAGCAGCAGCAGGATGAGGTACATCAGCAGAAAGCTGCCTGCGGAGGGGTGGGATCTTGCTCAGGCAGCTGGGAGCCCCTCAGCCCTCACACTCCTCCCTGGGGGGTCCCGACACCCCTTCCTTAACCTCACAGCATAGGCACTGACTTCACCTCCTCCATTCTGGTGGCACAGGTATGGGAAACGCCACACGCTTCCAAGTCCAATGGAGAAGGCCACCAAGATCAGGATATTCTCTGTCTTCTTCGCCTGGAAGTGGTTTGGGATCTTGGTAATTCGGACCTCTCTGGTCCTGAAGCCCTGGGACGCGGATATGGGGTTCATGCCCCTCTTCCTGTACGTGGGTTCTTTCTCCACAGGCTCTTTCTCCTTCTTATCCTTGGGAAGTGCTTTAGGAGATTGGTCCATGGAATCTCTTCACTGGTTCCACACCTAAAGGGGTCTTGAGGTCACCAAAAACAGCAGACTTTAAGATAGAACCAGTGTCCAGAGAGGCACAGGGAAGTGGGAGGTGTGGGGAGGGGGACAGAAAGTGTTCCTTTCAGGATTGGATTAGGATGTGGGGGTGTTTGAATTACTTATTTTATTTTAGTGTGTGTATGTGTGTGTACGTGTGTGTGTGTGTGTGTGTGTGTGTGTGTGTAAATGTGTGTAAATGTGTGTGCGCATGTGACTTTTCAAGACAGGGTCTCTCGGTGTAGTTCTGGCTGTCCTGGAACTCACTCTGTGAACCAGACTGGCCTCAAACTCACAGCAATCCGCCTGCCTCTGCCAGCCGAGTGCTGGGATTAAAGGCATGCGCCACCACTGCCTGGCCTTTTGGGGGGATGCTTGATTTAGAGTAGATTGCTGAGGCACAGGAAATAGGTACCAAGCCTGATGACCTGAGTTCACTCCCGGGACCCACATGGTGGAAGGAGAGGAGTTATGCTGCAGGCTGTCCTCTGACCTGCACATGTGACCGTGGCATGCACACACATACAACACAATAAATTAAATAGGACATACTTTTAAAAAACATATGGCATTGAATGTTTGGTTTTATCCAGCTTTGGATTGCATGACATATTAGTTCTGAAGGAGGATCTCATTAGCTCGGGCTGGTTTTAAGCACCTAATGTAGCTGAGGATGGCTTTAAATTCCTCACCCTGCTGCCTCCTGCTCCTGAGTCCTGGGCTACAGATGTGAGCCTCCATTCCTGGCTTCAAACTATCTTTACAATAAGGAGGCAGATATTCAAACACACTGCTCAGGCAAAGGCCAAACACACATCATTTATGCCTCAAAAAAATGCACAAAAAGAAAGCATGTATTTCTCAGTTTCATACATGAACTGAGCCTTTACAAATGCAGAGTGCTCCTGCAGAGGACCCAAATGCAGTTCCTAGACTCAGCTGGGGTGGCTCAAAACCACCTGTACCTCCAGAGACTCTGACACTCTCTTTCTGTCCTTTGCAGGAGCCTGCATTCATGTGCACACGACTATACCTAGACACACACGCCCATACATAGATACACACATTGCACATGACTATACCTAGACACACACACGCCCATACATAGACACACACATGTGCACACGACTATACCTAGACACATACGCCCATACATAGACACACACATGTGCACATGACTATACCTAGGCACACACACGCCCATACACAGACATACACACACCACAAACATTTAAAATAAAAGTACATTTTGGGATTTTGTTTGTTTGGTTAGTTTTTTGAGACAGGTTTTCCTTTTGCGGCCTTGACTGTCCTGGAGCTCACTCTGTAGACCAGGCTGGACCCAAACTCAGAGATCACCTGCCTCTGCCTCCCAAGTGCTGGGATTAAAGACGCGTGCCACCACCACCCAGCATAAAAGCAAATCTTAAGTAATGAAAACAATTGTACTTTTCTCTCTTGTGTGTTTATACTCATTTGTGTGTGTGTGTGTGTGTGTGTGTGTGTGTGTGTATGTGTGTTCTCAATCAGCCCCAGAGTAAGGAATTCCTTCTCACCAGGGCACCAGGTTTTCCCTTTGATCTAGTGCTGAGTGGTTTCCATTTAGCAAAAATGCTAATGGGGATGAGGTGCCACCTGGTTTGCTCCTGTATGCTGGTTGCCATGGTTTCCACAATGCTGTGTTCCCAGTCACAGCAGAAGAAAGCAGAAGAAAATGCACAGCAACGCTGAACTTTCTTCCCTTTTCTCCACATTTGTTCACCCCAAACGTCCAGCTTATGAAACATCGTTAGCGCATGGAACACCCTCTGATAATCCTCCCAGTGTCTGCCTGGGAGCCTACAGCCACGCCCCCTCTGAGACAACAGGCAAGGACTTCGTCAGACTTTTCTGTCTTCAAGGCCCTGTCAAACATGTGCCTTGCTATTGCCTGAGAATTGCTAATTGTGTCTGGAAGCCCTGTGGGAACGGGAAACCTTGAATAAAGACACAGAGAAGACATGGCAGATCCCTTTAGCCAGCTCCTGCTGCTGTAAGCGTCCTGTCTGAACCCCAGGAGGCAGCACTGAGACTGGCACTCAGAGGGGTGCCCTCCCCAGTGAGGGTTTTAACAGCACTTTACACACTAACAACTTCCCAGAGCCAGTGACAACAGCACTGCACACCCAGCTGTAAATGGCTGTGCCTTGCTCTGGTTCCAGGATCACAGATCCCAGGCTTTCTCTGGCTAGGAAGTACCTCTGGGCCTCTTCTGTAGGCTGAGTGCAGCCAGCATCCTCTTTGGGGACAGAGCAGGAGCCATCCAGCAAGTTTTGAGAAGAGAGAGTGCTACTTGCTGGGTGAGGTACCTCCTGGCCGATTTTTTAAAAAAGATTTATGTGTTTATTATGTATACATTATTCTCAGTGCTCTGCCTGCAGGCCAGAAGAGGGCGCCAGATCTCAATACAGATGGTTGTGAGCCACCATGTGGTTGCTGGGAATTGAACTCAGGACCTTTGGAAGAGCGGGAGGTGCTCTTAACCACTGAGCCATCTCTCCAGCCTCCCGATTTTTTTTTAATTGTGTGTGTGGAGGGGTGCACATGAGTATAGGTACCTGTGGAGGTCAGATCTCCTGGAGTTGAAGCTACAGTCTGCTGTGAGTGTCTGTGCCTGCTGTAGATACTGTGAACATTCAAGAGATACCACGATTTTAGCTGATTTTAGCATGATTTTATGCCCGGCACACCAGAACTCCTGAGGCTGACAGAAGGTTCAAGAGTTCAAGGCCAACTTGGATTACTCAGTGAGACTTAGTCTCAAGAGTACAAAACAAAACAAAAAGACCCCACTGCCAAATCCTTCATGTTAAATGTTTGCTCCTTTTAGGTTTCAGAAGGGGAGGCAGCTAAACTTAGAAACTTATATCACATAGCTTTTTTATTCTGTAACACTGAGAACAGGGAATCGTCTGTTATAGTATATTATAGGTGATTATTATCATACACAAGACTATGTATTAACATCTCATATGTACTATATGAGTTTCTCATCAATTCTACATATTTTCTTCTATTATCACGTGTAATTTCCTATGACGTATTTATTTATTATTTTGAGACAGGGTCTCTCTATGTACCTCTGACTGTCCCAGAACTTGGCTATATAGAGTAGGCTGGCCTCGAACTCCCAGCAATCTACCTGCCTCTGCCTCCCGAATGCTGGGATTAAAAGAGTGAATCTAATTCTTTTGAGATAGGGTCTCACTGTGTAGCTTTAGCTATCCCAGAGCTCCCTATGTAGATCAAGCTGACCTCGAACTCAGAAATCCTCCTGCCTCCGCAACTGCAGTATTGGGATTAAAGGAGTGTGCTGTCAGGCCCAAGCTAAAAATGTGTTTTTTAATGGTTACTCACAATCCAGGGTCCGTTTGCGAGTTTTCGGAGACAGCCCCGCCGACAGTTTCCCTTTAGCGGTCCGGTTCAGTCGGTCCCCTTGGCGGACAGGAAGAGCGCCTCGAGGGCTGCGGCCCGGCTCCCAAGGGGGAAGGCTGGCGTCTGAGCAGGGCACGCGACCCGTGGACGTCAGCGGAGGTGGCCGAGAGACCCAGGGCGCCACAGCCCGGTGACCTGCAGCTCGCGCAGGGAGCCCTTACTTTTCTCTGGCCCGTGCTGGCCCGAGAAGACCCCGGGTGCCAGGGAATTCGGGCTCGGTGTGTGCGGAGCTAAGTCACTGGTTGCCGGATTTCATGGTGTTGGCTCACGGTGCCACTTGCCAGGAGGATGAGATCGTGGGCTGCGTGAGGTCACAAGTTGCCAGTTAGATTTCACACAAGCACATGAAGGAGGGAAAAAGATGCCAGGAAAACTGCCAAGGGTGGAGGGTCACGTACTTATTATCCCAGCGCTTTAGAGGTAAAGGTCTGGGAGTTCCAGGCTCGGAAGGAAAGGAGAAAGGAGGGAAGGAGGGAGGAAGGGAGGGAGGGAGGGAAGGAGGGAAGGAGGGAGGAAGGGAGGGAGGGAAGGAAGGAAAGAAGGAAGGAAAGAAGGAAGGAAAGAAGGAAGACAGACAAGAGAGAGAGATGAGAAGATAGAATAAAGATTTATGATGTTAACGAGCTAGAACATGTAGGTCCAAATCCTATTTTTGGACTTACTTGAGGAAATGTGAGGTTTTTTTAAAAATAAAAATTGAAAACAGGGTCTGCAAATTTAGAATTGTAAGGACATCTCATGAAATTCAAGATGAACAATTCCTAACCCCTTCTCCCGACCCCCAAAAACGTAGTAGTGCTGGCAAATGCGCTGTTAAAGGGAGCCAAGGATCTAGGGGTCAGGGTTCAGAGGATGAATAGAGGATAAATAGACCTGAGAGGAGCAGGGGCCACGGGGGCTGAGAGACAGGCTCTACTCAGGCTTCTGATAACAGCTACTCCACGCTGCTCCAAGTGAGGTCCCCCAACCTTCAGCATCACCTGCTAAGGGAGACTGGGAGGTCTAAATTTCCCCAGTAGTGCACGCTTTAATCCCAGCACTCGGGAGGCAGAGGCAGGTGGATCTCTGTGAGTTTGAGGCCAGCCTGGTCTATAGAACTAGTTCCAGGACAAATAGGGCTGCTGCACAGAGAAACCCTGTCTGGGGGGAGGGGAGTCAATGTCTCTTTTCAAGCAGCTGTTACCCTTGTTTTCCAGAGTTATTACTGGGGACCACATGTTGAAAGAAAGAACCAAATCCTGCTTGTTGTTCTCTGACCTCCACATGCATGCTGTAGTGTGTATGCACACACACACATAGACACACACACCACTACATATATTCCAGATGATTTTTTGTTTTGTTTCTCAAGACAGGGTTTCTCTGTGAAACAGTCCTGGCTGTCCTGGAAATCACTTTGTAGACCAGGCTGTCCTCAAATTTACAGAGATCCGCCTGCCTCTGCCTCCCAAGTACTGGGATTAAAGGCGTGCGCCACC